TGTTGGTTTTGTTCATGTTTGGTCCCTCTGTTTCCTGCATCCTAAATGGGTGCTACAACCTTTGGGATGTTGCCTATGCTGATGTGGAGTTAGGGTAGGTCTCTCTCTTTTGTGATCTTTGGGAAGGGAAAACCCATACCATCAGTGAGCAGGAACGCTATTTTTGCCTTGGAAAGCACCCTAGAAAAAGGTGCTTTGCAAAACATGGCACAGGACTTGATGAAATTTGATGTATTTTTAAAGCTGATTAAAGCTATTAAATAGATTCACACTCAAAGAGCCTCATGGGGAAAAAAATATATTTGTGCTTTCTTGTGTAATAGCAGAGTGGGATAAAACATGGCTTTTTAAAGCCTCATTGCTATTGTCTTTGAGATAGCAAGAAGTCACTGCAATGAATAAGCTAATGATAGAAAAATTTTAGTGAATCATGGAATCATAGGATCATTTGGGTTGGAAAAGGCCTCTAGGATCAATTCCAACCATTTTCCTAACACTGCCAAGTCTACCACTGAACTGTGACCCTAAGAACCACATATACATGTATTTTAAATGCCTCCATGGGTGGTGTGACTCAATCACTTCCTTGGGCAGCATGTTCCAATGCTTAACAACCCTTTCAGTGAGGGCTTTTTCCCCCCTAAAATCCAATCTAAACTTCCTCTAATGCATGCAACTTGAGCTAGTTTCCGTTTGTCCTACTTCTTGTCACTTGTGAGAAGAGACCAGCCCCACCTGGCTGCAGCCTCCTGTCAGGTAGTTGTTGGGAGCAATAAAGTCTCCCTTGAGTCTCCTTTCCTCCTGGCAAAGCAGCCCCAGCTCCCTCAGCTGCTCCTCACCTTTCCTTGCTGAAGTAAGCAAAGAATGCCAGTAGAAAAATTGTTTGCTTTTCTTTCCCTAGATTAAGAGATGATACCTAGAAGTTCTTGAAAAGTTTATTTAAATAAGCCACTATTGCTGAAGTATGAAAAAAGTATTTTAATTAAGAACATGTTTAGGATAATAAAACATATTTTCAGTGGGTCTTTTATACAGACCACCATACACATATACAGTAGCACTGAAGCCCCCAAAAAAAAGCCTCAATCTGGCTAAATAAAATAAATTCAACTTGTCCCAAAGGCATCCCACTTCAGAAAACAGCATCCCAGACACTTCTAATGAGCCATTCCTCTTCTGCTATGCATTTCTCTATTCTTCCTATTATCCTAATCTTGGTTCCTCAGATTTATTTCTGCAGACCCTGTCCCTTGAATGCCTCTGCTCCTGCCATCCCACAAACACATTTGCCAAATTGACATACTGTTAAAGTAGCCCTCACAATATGAAAAATAAGCTCACTTCAACCTCTTATCTCTGCCATGTATTGTGGGTCCAAAACAAGCCTGCATGGCTTGTGTGCAGCCCAGCCTACTCCTGCTGCTACTGTGGGATCACCTAATAAATGTTTTGTGCAAGGCTGTGGCAAAATGGCAGGGAGGGAGCAGGAAAAGGAACAGCCAGTCTCATTTGCAAGTAGATAATGAATTAAAGCCTTGTTTTCTGGTCAGTTATAATAAATTAGATGTTGGACACTCTTAGCAACTTGTGTTTGTGATACCCAGGCACTGGGAAGAAGACCCCATCAGCAGACCAGCACTGACTCAAGGTATTGAAATATTGCCATAATTGCCCAAGTAAGGCAGACTGACAATTTTGGGGCTCAAAAGATGAACTGGACATCAGATATGGGAACATTTGTATCTTGAAAATGCATAGTTTTCATTAACGGGGTTTTTTTTTCATACTTTCTTGAATGTTTGGATCTCTATAATATGTGGGCTTTTGCTTGGCAAGTGTCCTGCTTGGACTGTAATACTCACTACAGTACAATCATTTATCTATCCTATATTTCTCAATTGCTTCTGATTTTCATGCTAAGCACAATTCCTCATCTGGGCATGAAAAGGGAGAGAGAGAATCTTTTGCAATTTACTCCATTTCTGCGCATGCTTAATTTTCCCTAATTTTGGATCTGCTCCCACTTACTGCTGCTACCCCCCAAAAGGGGTTCATGCCCAGGAAGGCATAATTTCAAAGGAGACACCAAAACATCCACTGGCAATAAATTATCTGATCAAAAATAATTATGAGGAAGGAGAGAGCTTCTATGAAACTACAAAACTTTCTGGAATTTTTCCAAAGTAATGTAGTTAGTTTTCAGCCAAGAATACCTCAGCAATTGCAATTGAGAACCAGAAGACTTCACTGAAAAAATTCTATTAAAATAATGATTTTCTTAGAAGACTTGCTGAAAAAAAAAATCAGCTAAAAGAAAAATTAGAAAGAGAGCCACCTTTGATGGAAAATATTCAACAATCCTACCAAGGATCTAATACATTCAAAATAACTGTAGTGTAGTAAACTGCCTTCCATTTGTTTAGTTTGTCAGCGTCTTCTGACACCATTGATCCTGCAATGTTTTTTCTCTTATTTGCTTTGATTTATTCCTTGGGTTGGCAAATGCATTTTCTCATCTTATTTCAACTCCTAGAGGGTTTCCACGAGAGGTGGCAAGGACCCTTCTTCCTTCTCTCCCTCTCCCCTGTGGAAGTTGTCACTCCCCTTTACTGCACCACAGATTCAGGGTCTGTCTCTCTCTCCAGTGCCTGTCTGCAGTGAAGCCCCTGCCCCTTCCTCCACCCTGCCTTATACGTGTCCCTGTAGCAGCACTGACACCTCTGTGATTGCTCTGGACCTCACAGCTGAGCACCTCTCAGCAGAATGAAATTCACATTAGTGCTGGGAGGGCTGGTTTGTTCCCTCTTTAGCCAAGCTTTGCTCCCAATTATTAAAGCCTTTGTCAGAGAGGCTTTGATGCTAGGAATTAACTTGAAAGGAATTTGATAACCAAGGGCCATATTCATGATGCAGAGATCTCCGCTGAAGGGCTCTCGCTCACTCCCCAGCATCTCCTGAATTTTGAGTAGATTCCCTAGTTGTCATGGCAACAGCCTAATTTGCTCTCTTTTCGTGGTTTAAGTAAGCATCATGTAAAAGCTCGTCAATAAATGATGCTAAAACATCCTGAGCTTTGGTAATGACACTGGGCAACTTGCCACGTGGCTTAGTTTAATTGCTCTGAAGCTACCACCAAGTGCATAATTCAGGGTTTCCTTTAACACAGGAAAAAAGTTTGGATGGCTGCAAGGGAAAGAGGAGGAGGAAAAGAGCAGCTGCCATTCTTCAGAAGTGAAGAAACTTCAGGAGCAAGAGGACAGTTTTGTCCCTTTTTGTGGCAAAGAAACCCATAAGAGAGAAAGACAAAAGCTTAGTTGAGACTCTTACTTTTTCACTCTTTAGATCACTTTGAACTTGGTGAGAAGGGCAAAAGTATCTGCTGATCTTGTACTCTATTCTCCCAGGGAAGGCAACATGGCTTGATCCTACTTTAGGACTGAGATGGAGGTAGATAGCCCAGCAATTTAGGAGGTGACAATCCGCATGCATTGTCCCAGCTTCCTGCTAGTCTTTCAGTGTGAAGGCAGTGCCTACAAAAAGGCACTGCCTTTAGGAGAACTTCTGGTCTGTCATCAGTGAACTGCCTTTGTATCTTTGCTGGTACTTGGGCTTGACTTACCCTGATGTCACTATTGCCTCTGGAGGCAGAGCTGAGGCTACCCAGCCCGCCAGGCCTGGGAGAGGAGCCAAACCAAGAGCTGGTGTGGGACTTACTTGAGTTGCTTTGGGCTCTAGTGTAAATTTGAACCACTCATCATTGTGGTAGTAGGTATATAGACTCTACAGAGTAAATATTAGCGCATGGAAAGTAGAGTATAAAGGGTGTTCTTGGACTCTAAGGGAGGAAGAACAGCAGCTTCATCCTGCTTGTTTATTTTTCACTTATGGTGGAATGACACATCTGTTTGTTGCTGCCATGCACATGAGCGTGTATTAGCAGTAGCTTTCAATATTGCTGTGAATGGCATTAAAAATCCCTCTTGGCTGCTTGGTCTGTTCAGAGGATACCAAAGGGCTGTCCTGCTGAGCTCCTCCACTTCCACTATTCCTTCCATAAGAATAAAACTCTTTAGGCAATCAAGGTGGTCTGAGGCTTGATTTAGATAGTGGTGAGGGATTGAAGATTCTCTTGAGGGAATCTGCAATGGTCTATAACTCTTCAAACAAAGCATTACCTAAGGAAAAACAGCAGTATTCATTTTGGGACCAACTACTTCTTAGGAAATGCAAGTATAGATAGTTGTCTCTAGAAGTTTCTGGTCAGGAAAAAAAAAAGTGCCAAAACAGAACATTTCAGTCATTTGGTTTGGGGGAAAAGTGCCACTTTGGTGTGTTTTTTTTTAATGTGGGGATTCAAACTCCCACGGCAGGCATGTGAAATCACAGTCCCTGGGCAGTACATCTGTAAACCTTTCTCTCTCAGGAACCATGTACTTGCATCCTCTGGATGTCTGAACTGATGGGATGACAGCACAGTTGCTTTACAGAGGATACTGTGACACAAGGCAGACTCTCTCTTTTCCCTGTGATCTGTTTGTCTTGTCACTCCCTTCTCCAGAATAGTTTAATTCTTTTCTCACATATTCCATTCAGGGAAGAGGCAAAGTGCTTGATATGCTGTGGTGTCACTTTGGACAGAAATCTCTGCATCCACTGAGATGGTAATGACCCTCCACAAGGGAAATACTGTATTGTGGGCTGAGGATGGAGGTGCAACAATAAAATGGGAATGCCATGGCTTAGGGGGAGGAGGGAAAGAGGGGTTGAATGGGAAATACAAGTGAGTAAGCTAAGGTCTCCTTTTCAGGAGTGACAAACGAACTCTGGGGTTTTTTTGCCCGCCTCTCTGATAAAAGCTTGACAGTGGGGGTGAAGTCTGTGACACCAGAGCCTGCACACCCTTGTTGTTTTACTAAATTATTCATTCCTGTTCCTGTGATAATATAGTTATAAGGAGGAGCCTAATTGAATTTACTGTCTGGCATTGGCCAATAGGGCGATAAGGATCCGGCAGAATGGGATGACGGTGAATCCTGCTGGTGTGCTGTGAATGTGAAGCAGGACAGACTGGCAGTTTGTGTGCAGGAGGGAAAAGGAATCGGTGCAGAGCCCCTGGATTAGCAGATTAAGGACAGGAAAGGTAAGGGAGCGGGTGGGAATGGGATTTGCCTGAATCATGTACCGACCCTGTGCTGAAAGGCCGGTTTTATTCATAGGAAAGCACTCTGCAGGCAATGTTTTCCTGCAGGGTTTGGAGGAGCAGGAAGGAATGCATGTGGTGGCACTTGCTCAGTACATGTAGCCTGTGCCTTTGTCTTTATACGTGCTGCAGGGCTCTGTAATGCTGAATGTTCACTGAGTGCGTCTGTGCAGATATTCCTGTGGTTTGTGTGAATCCAGCAGCAGCGCATGGAGCCTGTGCAATATAAATGTAATGAGGGGAGTCCAAAGGGAGGAATTACCTCATGGGCAGAGTGGGGAAAACAGTAGTGCTTTCTGGTTTGATTGAAAATGAAAACCTCGAGGCTCTTAGTGAGCTGTTTGCAAACAAAACAGAGCGAGTGTGTGTGCATCTGTCCGTGTATGCACCGGATCTGCAGTCAGATGTTAAAATGGGAAAGAGGAGATCAGACTGGAGCATTAGGTGTCGCAGGTGGAGATAAAATGCAGGCAATCTGTGTAATCAGATTCTCTAACATGGAGAATGCAAGTGAGTACAGAAGTGTATTAATCCTATCTGCTGAGCTGGCTACACCTGGAAAGCAAAGGGGAGAAGGGCTGGGAATCAGGATAGGTAATGTGACTGCTTGGGGAAACTGGTGCTCAAACCATCCTGCCTGCTGTGCCTGCTGCTAAAGTGGTAGCTTATTGAGTTGCTTCCACAGATTTGTTATTTCTCTTCTAATGATGCAAATACGAGCATCTCTGAGGATCAGGTTAGAGCCCATAAATTGACCTCGTCTGGAAGAACAGGACCACATCAAGCAAATTAGCCTCTGCCCTTCCTTTTGTTTCACTGCCTTTGCTCTGATAACAAGTGACGGCTGAACAGACAGGGCAGGTGGGGGAAGATGGATTACAAACGTGGCAAGTGGCATTAAGCCGTGCAGACAGTGAGTGTCGTTTGCAGTGATGATGTTATAATCCTACTTCTTCAGCTTACATCTTTGCAAGCATGTAAGACAAGGCCGTCCTGAATTTGGGGTAAGCTTATTCTGGTCACTAACTGAAGCAGGGGTCACAGCTCACTGTAAGGCACTAAAATTTTTAGCTGCTTCTCATAGGGGTCCACCACCTCATTCTTTTCAAGCTGGGATCCAGAGGAAAGTGTTGCTGAGACAAAGATGTTGCTCACCTGTGGATATCTCATCTCTGTTGGAAACTCATTCTTATGGTGTGTGTGGAAGGGATATGCTTTTTCTGCTTGCTCAGAAAGCAGCGGCCAGAAGCTGCTTCCAAAAAGAGAAGTAAGGCAAGAAAACCCCATAGGGAAAAGTAACAGAATGGCATATCTTGGATTAGCCAAACCCATTTGCCCAGATAGGTTGTCCTTCTTTCCTGACGCCAAATTTCTTACATCAGGGGTCAGCTTCCCTCTACTCATTCTCATGTGGCCTGAAGGTTTAGAAAATGACTGATATCCCCATCAGAAAGCACCTCCTTGCTCTTGTCTACGCTCTGCCCATGACAGCTCCTGGACTCTCTGGGTTGTGCTCCTCCGAATGGTGGGCTGAGTCTGATCCCCTCTGTCTCACAGCTTGTGCATGCACCCCAAGTGACACCAAAGGAATACTCACTTGGTAAAAATATGAAAAGGTTCCACCTTGCAGAGGGTATCTGTATTTGGTGATGGAAAAAAGGAAATATTGCAGATTCTCATAGGATAGAGGCAGTCTCTCATTATCTCACCTGGAATAGCTGACTAAAAAATGGATCTAACACAGGGCATGTGGTCATAGTTGTGTTTGACTCTAGCTTTCAGAGGCAGCAGCAGAGTGAGTGAAGAAATGAAAAAACCAGTCGTGGCCATTTGAGAATAAACTCCCCAGTATACTAAAATTCTTTCCCTTTGCCCCAGAAACAAAGGAATAGTCGAACAACTTGCTTATTCACACACTACAAAAGACTGCACAGCTCCCAGGTGCAGAGCAGGAGGTTCTCCCTCCTAAAGAGTGGGCAGGTACTCATTGCCCCTGGAGAGTCTCTCTCTCTCTGCTCACCAGAAGAAGTCCTCTGCTCTTGCCAGTTTTGGGAAGTGCACCTTTCCTGGGAGATGCCTGCAGGGATTTGGCAGGAGAAGCATCCCTGTGATGCTGCAGCAGCAGCAGCAGCCTGGTGCTGGTTGCAGCAGTTACTGCCGGCTGGGTGCCTGCATTGTTTGCTTCTGCCCTCAGAGTCAACAGGGAGGCTCAGGAACGGGCAAAATGCCAGCGTATTCCCAGGGAAGCTGACGTCATTGCCAATTCACTGGTGCCAGACACTGTGCTGGAAACCTGAGGTTGCTTTTCTGCCATTAATTGCTCAGATGATTAATTCATGCAATGATATCATTTTCTTGGGTGGAGGTTAAGAGGTTATGTACTCTAGTAAGGAGAGGCGTGATGGGATGCGAAACTTGTGCTCCTCATTGGTGTTAACGCTAATTAGAACAAACCAGCCACTGCATTCGCCACATCATCCTTCCTCCCCCAGAAAGGGTACCACTTTTTTCTTGGGTTTTTTAGGGGGGATGAGGGGGTGGTGCCATTGGATGTGTGAGCAAGTGTTCTTATGGGATTTGCAGTATTGCAAATTCTGCATCAGAGGATTGAACCATAATGCCCCTTAACTTTCACAGCTACGCTGCCACAAGGATTTTTGCTTTAATTATTTTCATATTAACTACTTGATTTATGTCATTCCCATTGCACTTTCCAACAAGAAAAAGCAGTATTATCCTCATTACAAAGACAAATGAAAAAAAGAAGTGAGTTTGTTTCTTAAACAACTAGAGTGTTGCATTGTGGTGTTCTCCTCTCAGAGGGTTCTGCTCAGTCTGTTGGGGTGTAGGATCAATTTTTAGTTGGTCTGGAAATTCACCAAAATGTCAAGTTTTGTAGTAAATACTCTAGGATATTTAATTCTTTTAGGCTAAAAATCCCCTTCCTGTCTCTTTACTATCTGAGTAAATAAGTCTAGAATTCCCAGGTGGGCATTACAAAGAACTGTCCTGGCCCAAACACAATTAATAGCTGATAAAGTTGAAGCAGCTTGATCTGTCAATCTGTTGGTAGGTGAAACATGTAACATGAAATGTCAGACAAACCACCCAGGGCATTTTCAGAGCTGTTGTAAGAGCATTTTGTGTCAAGCGACGTCACTGTTCTGCCACATGGATCCCTCCCTCTTGCTCACTCCACTGCTGTTCTTCTCACTTCAGGCCCCTGTGATTTTGGCTGATTTGCATCCTCAGAGGTGTACAAAGACCTGGATCATAAGTTTTCAAACAGACTTGGTAAGACCAAATGGAAATCTTCCAATTTCTAGTCTGGCCTTTTATTTATGGGATAAAATGGTTTCCTTTCTATTTAAGCAGTGGGGAAGCCACGCTCTCTCTCCATTCTGGATAATTCTTCACTTTTCCCATTCTTCATGATTTGTTGTGGTATTCTCCTACCTCATCTAGAGATTTGAAAATGTCAAAGAGCTTTTTTAAATGCTGACAAATAACAGAGATTTGATTAGCAACTGTAACAGGTCACTTACCAGTCCAGTATCATATCTATTTATAATACAGTTATCAAGGAAAATGAAGTGATTATGCAGAACTAACAATGTCTGTATTAATGGCTATCAGATTCCAGACGTTCATCTCTTGTCTGTTTAATGAGGAATAATTCTACTTTGTCTGGGCAGATCAAATGCTAAAGCAACGGTGCAGTTTGGCTCTGCTGCCCTTAGCAGATTATACTGGCCACAAGAAAGTTGGCCTAGAGCATGTACTTGTAGTTTAGACCTACTCATAAAAGTGAGAAAAACTAATGACATGTCCTTGGAAAAGTAGGAGGAAGAGTCCATTGTGTGGCCTTTGGGTGAGAATAATCTTTTGTCCTGGTGGCAGCCCTCCACTGCAAAGGGCTGAATTGCCATCAGAGTGACAGGAAGGGGAAGAAAAGATTGTCTGCTTCCCAGGATAGTCTGTGGGGGATTGGCATGGAGTGGGGGGCAAGGGGGGAAGTGAATTGGATGGAGTAGGAAAGACCCTTTTTCTAGATTTCCTGAAACTGGGAGTATCCCCTTCATATCACTTTGAGAGAGTAACTACAGTCGTTTTTAAAAGCACATTAAATTTTGCTCTGAACTATCAGACTGGGATATGAACAAGACAGAGAGCTGCTGTGTTGTATCCTACTCCAGCCTGAAGAAGGCAAACAGCATTATATTCCTGTGTGTCTGAAAAAGAAATCAGAGTCTGTGATAAAAGAAGGAGAAAGGTAGAACGAAGGTAGGACTGAAGAGCCATGTGTAAAGCTGGACAAAGCAACAGAGAAGGGTGTGCCTTTTTTTTGGAAGAAGGAAATTTTGGTTTCTGCCAAGCTTTATGGGTTTTGGCTGATTTATTTCCTGCTCTCAGCATGATCCAGAGCCAGCACTCCTTCCCTGTATACTTTAGCTGGGGAAAAAAAAAAAAAAAGGCATTGGCTTCTTTGTTTTTTATACACAGGAGCAAACATACACATAGCAACTCCTTTTAAAAGATGACAAACAGTGTCTTCAGCCAGCTCTTCATGGTTTGAAATGGCTGTTTGCTGAGCTCCCTTCAGTTTAAAAAGTATGCTACTTTGAGCCCTATGCTTTAATTTACAATTTAATGCTACATTTAGTTGACAATGGCACAAGAAGGAAATAGTATTTTAACTTGCTGATTCTAGCCCTTTAAAACCACAAAACTGTTCAAGAAAAGGTACTAATTGACCAGTTGCTCATAAAAGCCACAGCTAAAGCCACTCGGATTACTTGGAGTCACATAAGGAGTTTACTGATTCCCATCTAAGTGAATGGAGAAAAGTCTCACACCTCTGCAACTCAGGACTTCCAAGCCTGCTGGAAAAAAAAAAAACAGCCAGAAATGCTTACATCATATCATTTATATAGCCAATGCAAAATATTTTTAATCTAGAAGGACTGGTAGGCTTTCACCAGCACTAAATTAAGTTTATAAGCAAACACAAGGATATTTACATAGAGCTATTAGAAAAGCAAAACCAATAGCAGCAGAACAGTCAGCTCCAAGATGATTCAGACCCTTAAAATCTGTCATTTGAAATATAGTAACACTCCTTTTTTAGATGAAGTGCATTATTTTTAATATAGGGTATTCTGGCCCTATGTGGTTGTCTTCTTTTGTAAAATATAATGAACATATCTGTTATGTCATCATCTTTCTCCCCCACTTCTAACTGTACTTCACTGGTTTAGAGTAGGGCTGAAGAGCCCTGTAGTGCATTGCAGCCCAGGAACATATCAAATACATTCTTGGCTGCAGAAATACTTTTTCCTGACTCTGCAGAGCAAACTGATAAATGCCAGAGGATGATGCTAGAAAATACAGATCCTTCTTGGATCTTCTGTATTGTATTGTATTTGGATCTTCTGTATTTGGAGAAGGAAAATCAGAGTTTTCACACTGAACTTACCAGCACAGTGCAGTTTTTTATAGATACTGCTGTACAGCAGTGAAAAATAAAATGGAAATTTGGGGTAAAGAATGACCCCATGGTGCCAGAGGTGATGGTACCCTGTGTTTCTGTCCCTGAGCCACCACACACACTTCTGATGCACTGTGCCCATCACTGGCAGCTGCCAGGGGCTGTGGACACAGTGTGTGGGCAGGGAAACACACTTCGTGCGTGGCTGTTTTCTGAAGTGGGCTTGACAAAACCAAATTATGTGACGAGCTAGGAAACATTTATTCTTTTTTTAGCCCAAAAGTTTTTTGATTTACTGTTTAAAGATGATACTTAGTGCCTGCATTTCCCTGTATGTTCACTAAAGCGTTGATTGCACTTTGGCAAGAGGGGTTGGATGAAACACTGCTCTCCCTCCAGCAGCTCAAGGCTGCTGTATTTAGCTTGATACTTCTATCTAAAATAGGCCTGTGTGTATTTAGTTAATCTTTTGGGCAGACTTTCTTACTTCAGCAGTCTTGTGAAGTTTCTTTTAGCAGGAGAGAGAGGAGTAGGCGAGGTAGGGGGTTGCTGCTTTATAATAAAACTGAAAGAGGCTGACAGGAATCCACATGAAGGTTACCTTGGTTCACTCTGGGCAACCTTAATAATTCAGCAGAGCCTTTCTAGTCCGGGCTTCCCACGCTGTTCCCCACAGGGGCAGTTTCACATATGAGAGTTTCTTGAGGCCATTCAAGGCACCAGCTACTGAGAAACACAAGGCATGCGAGAGGATGGTGCCTGTCAAGAGCTGGAGCTGACAATTCCTATTAATGTGCAGGCAGGCTTTTCCAGGGAAGAGTCTTTGATGTCTCTGACTCTTGGTCACAGTTCACAGGCCTCTGGCTTTACATGTCATGCTTATTTCTTGAAGGAAAGTGCCACCTCTTTCTTCTGCTAAGCCCCATGGTCAGACTGTCTCCTCCTCAGGCGTGACCCTCAGAGCAGGACAGTGCCTTTAGTCACCCAGGGCAAACTCAGACCTTGCAAAGTCACAGCTGATATCTCTTGCAAAAATCATGCCAGCTGTGCAAGTCCACCTGCCTTCCACCATCATCAGGATGAGAGAGGGGTCATTTCTAACTTCCAAAGATTTTACATTTCAGAGAGAAGCCCTTAGAAGTTGATGAGAATTTTGCTTGAGCTAGAAGGGAAAGAATTGACTTTCTGGTTTCTGAGATAGTTTCCCGTTAAATAAGTAGCATTGCTACAGTTTTTCTCTATGCCCTGTTCTGCTAATAGAAGCAATAGCTGATTACCTCACACAATGCTGTAAGACCAGTATATTTTCCAAGAACAGAGTAGGTGGTGAAGAATGAATAGACTCTTTAGTTCCTAAGTGCATGTTTTCATGCTTAGTGATAGGGCAACAAAGGCAATGGGCAGGTAAGAAAAACTCTGATTATTTAAGGAGAGCACAGCACCTGCCTGTTTTGTGGTATAGTCAGGGGTAGCAGCTGATGGGGGAGGTGAAATAAGAATGGAATCATAAAATGTCTTGGGTTAAAAGAGACGTTAAAGATCATCTAATTCCAACCCCCACCACCACAGACAGGGACTCCTTACACTAGGTCAGGTTGCTCAGGGCCCTATTCAATAATCATCTGCAATAAATAACACACCAGCTGCCATCTCCTGCATCACGTGGCAATGTTTTTATTCAATTTTCAACAAATAAAAAAATCAGCTCAGGTAAGACTGCTGCCAGGGCACTGCCTAGCCCTGCACTGTCAGCAGCTGCTGCTCAAGATACAGCTGCCCAGGAGAGAGCTTCTGGTTTACAGCTGAACATCTGAGCTCTCCTGGGATGCTTAAGGAAGTGTCTTTGCACTGGGGCATCATATGGTCACGCAATCCTTGCTGAAGTCAGGAGAAAACACTTTTTTCTTCACTCAGGCTTTCAGGGAGGTATTCCTTTCCTCTTGCTGCAGGGACTACAGCTTAGCTACTGGACTGGTTTGGACCAGATGGTGAGTATTTACAAATTAGCCTTGGAGTTGTTTTTTCAATCAGAAATTATAAGCTCGTGATGGGAGGAGATGGGAGAAACTACACAAACTGCACTAGTGGGAGGACAAGCTCAATGATCCTAGTCTTCAAATTCATTTGATTTTTACAAGTGCTCTGCAGTGCTTTAGTGGTAATTGAAGAGATCCAAAGCAATTATCCTCTTTCAGAAATGAGATACTAATAATGGAGAGCTGAAGCGAGACAAGAGCAAGTGATTAAGCTGATGATAGTGAAGGACTTCTATATATTTGTTATCGTGCTTTGTACATTATTTTTGCTCACAATATGGCCCTTTCTTGTCCTGGTTTTACATTTGTGTTCCAATATGAAGTGATTTAACCAGGATCACTCGTGCAGCTCTTAGGAAAATACATGTGGATGTGCAGGGCCTGTCACCAACATGTAAAGGTGATTCAATACTTTGATGAAGTTCAGTGACAATAACAGATTTTATAATCCCATCACTGGGACATGTTTGGTTACTGTTTTTCCACTGAAGTAAATAAAAAAGGGGACAAAACTCCTTGCGTCTAATCTGGCTTATTTATAAAACATTATCCATACACTAATTTCTTACACATTATCATTATCATCTTCTGGGCATCAACAACAGTTTTTGCAGTAATCAGCTCTGAAACTGTACTCCAGTGACATTAGCTGTACTCATTTGAGCTGGGAACTCTGTATATCCTTCCATGTTAACAAGTAACACCTTCTTTGCCTCAGTCTTTAGTGGGAAGATGGCTTGTCCCCAGGACAAGTGTCCTCCTGGGTTGGT